TATATATACTTTCCGCCGTCCAGCGCCACGCTACGGAGAGTTTAGGCGAGTAAGTTGAGTTTACTATCGTCTGTACAGTATGTAAATTAGGTACCGTAAGTCTAATACAGCACTGTAATTTTATACATTTCTTGTGAAAAAAACATTTCTTATTCAACGGCCATAAAAATTATTTATAGTAATGATGTCTCCAAAGTTCAACAAAGTTTTTGCAGAAAAATAACTTATCAGAAATTGTGCCTGCCATTTGGTGCAGTGCTCCGCGACGAAAACAAGCTTAAGCAATGGCGACATCAAACAGTGCACACTCGGTAAGTAATCCTACAATTTTTTGTTTATAGCATAGTTTATATGGATTATTCCCAAAAAAATATACGTATTTTGGAAATGTTGAGTCGAATTAGTCTAGGAATTGATTAATTTTATAGAAGAAAACCTTTCAAACAGCCGTAGTCCGTAAACTTCACGTGTCGGGCTGTGATTGGCAAGGACTCGTACAAAATGGATTCATAAAGAACGGAACGTATCTACCGTGTTATAGGGGGGTCGACTGTACTAATAAAACCAAACGCGAGCACAAGCAGATATGCATAACAGTCGTGGGAAGAATTCGAGTGTCAGCTGGATGTGTGTACCTCCTTGTGCTGTATGACATGAGGAGATACAGAAGTTGTAATGAGAAAATATGAAACTTGGGCAGTTTTCGAATGTTTTAATGTACATTTCAACATTCTCGAATAATAATTAACATAATTACATTATTTTTGGAAGCTCCTGTATATATGTGTATACACACACACACACATATATATATATATATGACTATAACTATATATTTTCAAAATTAACATTTATAATAATATAAATGAATAAAAATAAAAATTATTAGATGTTTAATTTTCTCTTATGTACTTATTACAAAAACATATAATAATTACCTGAAGCAATTTCATATTAGTTGGAAAGTCTCCTTCCATTAAGCGATCCCTTATTAATCTAAAAAATAAATGAGTAATAATAAAAAATAAATAATGCGTCTTTATTACTTTAATAAATAAATACACACACACACACACACACACACTATTTATACCTATAAAAATATAATTAAACTAAAAAAACTAAAAAATAAAACTGCTTTCTTGGAGTTTAAAAAAGTTTAATTTCTAGTATTTTCAGGTATGTAACAAACACTAAAATACCAAAATAGTAAATATTTTTTAAACTCTAAGAATTTAGTTTTATTCTTTAGCTTTGAGGTATTTTTTATTAGATTTTTACTCACTATTATTATAATAAAATTGAAAATTTTGAATACAGTTTCAATTTTAAGATCATAATGGAAAATTAAAATAAATAAAAGATTATTATAAAAAAAATTTACAATTTTTGATTTATTTGATTAAAAACATCATAGTGTACTGCAAGCTTGTATCTTACATCACTATCTCATGATTGGATATCATATCAGAATTTCTATACTGGTCAATCACTAACACAAACTAGTCAATATGCTATACATTACTCTAAAGAAATAGATCTTTTTCAGAAAATTATACAGCATTACATTTATTTATTTTTACCAAACAAAGGCAATAACTTTCGTATCATGTATCTTGAATGAATATTTGACTGACCATGAGTTACATTTATTAACATATGTAATATATTATAGTCAAGCCTGCAATAATGGTCTTTTTTGAGGAATGTTTCTTTTTGGAACAAAAACAATGGTCATTCCAACAATTGCCCCAGCAACTATAAATCCCATTTTTTTTTAATCTCTTAATTATGACTATGACTACTACTCTGAAATAATGCACTATATAAAATTATTGATAAGACAAAGTTTGACTATTGGCTTTTCACACATTTAGTGAACTTGGCTATAAATGTAAAAAATAAAATTCTTCTTAAAAAACCATCAAGGACTAACTACATTTAAAATTGTAGGCTGTTGCAAAAAAAATTTTGTACAAAACGTCCTCCTCTAATGTGCAGAGAACTCCTAAAACACACATAGATCCATCTTTTATTGTAGGCTATGAGCTATTTTAAAATGTGTCAAAAAAGAAAAAAATAATAATAATGAACAGTGTCTTCTGCTGGTAGTGATGATATAATTTCAACACCAAACACTATCTATCAAACACTAATTATACTTTACATGTTTAAGAAGAATTTTAAGATATGTTTATTTAATTAACATTGCAGGCAGAGGACACTTTTTTAAAACACTTATTAATATAGATCATAGTCTACAATAAAAGATTGATCTATGTACATTTTTAAAGTTATTTGAATGTTACAGAAGCACTTTGTAGAAAATCACAAATTTTGTACAAATGTTAAAAATAATAAATTGATTTAAGTTTTCTTTCACTTTATACAATCCATACAACATGTAATTTTCAACAAAGGTCATATTTAAGTTCCTGTTAGTGGCCACTGTTCAGAGATTTAACTGTATATTTATTGTAAATATTAAATAAAAATTAGGTTAAAAATAATCAAGTGCTATATACAAATAATTATAAATATTAATATTCATTTTAAATTGACAGATCATAAATATATTCAGTTTAATTATAAAAAATATACTAAATATATTAAAGATCTGATGAGTCAAAGTATTTGATTTAAAATTATTAATGCATGATAATAAGCAAAAGCTAAACTGAAAATTTGTTTGCTCATTAATAACTTTACTGACTTAAATTGATTAGTAGAGCTGATAATGGTGTTAACTATCTTGACAAAGATATGAATAGACCAGAAATACTAACTAATAGAATGTCCACTATTATTATTATGTTGGGTTTCGTGAGTTATACTCGGTTCACACCGGTGGCTGTGTACTATGCCAGACCAGAGTCAAGGCATAGCAACCAAAACAAAACTAAAATTAAATAAGTGTGTCAGTGTGTGTGTCTGTATTCACGAATTTCCTAACAATGTGACATGTATTCAATATAGTGGCCTTCTGTAGTGTGATGTATGTATTTCTACTCAATTGTAATGTTCCCAGGCTTTTGTGTAGTGTGTGTGGTATCACACCTGTACAGGAGAGAACAACAGGTACAATAAGCACCCTATCCATCCTCCACAGATGCCTTATTTCCTGGGCGAGTTCTGTGTACTTGCTAATGTTTTCAGTGCATATGTTTTGTACATTGTGAGTGTTTGGAATGGATATGTCTATAATGTATGTGATTTTATTGTGTTTGTCAATGAGTGTGATGTCTGGTCTGTTGTGGTAAATTGTTT